ATAAGATATTTTATACAGTGTGTTAATTCATTCATGTTTAAAAAGTGTGTACATGTGCTTTCCATTGTGTTTTTACAGGAAAATCCCGTTACAAACTTAAGGTGTCATATTATCTTACAGAGAATACTTTTTAATTTTTAAATTTGTGAACTTTTTTCTGATTAACGTTCCAGAACGTCAAATAAGATGCGCCTTAATTTCAACTAAGTCTTCCACCTAAATTAATGCACTATAATTCTTGGAAAGACCTTTGAATACTTTAAAGGCTATTCAAAGTGTATTAAACATAAAACGTGTTAATTATTCAATTTGTAACAAACTTTTTTACGTTTAACGTTCCCAAACGTCAAATAAGATTTGCCTTAATTTCGACTGAGTCATGATAAAGGAGGTACATTTTGCGGTGCCAAAATCCAGAGTGTTCATACAAAAAAACTGTTATTGAAAAACGTCATGGAGAATATTGAATAAATATTTCAGGCGTGACATGAAATATTTTAATTCATTTGAAATCTTTCATCTTTTACACTTGTGCAGGCCAGATTTTGATGAAAACGTTAGAATGAAAACCAACTTATATAGGTAAAAGATTTGGACACAAGCAAGTGATACTTGTTCACGTCACAGACGTGACCAATAAGTCAAGTCATTCCTCGAGGCGTTAAGCTGCGTGCATAACGCCTCATGGAAAAGTTTCCATTATTGATAAGATTTTATACAGTGTGTTAATTCATTCATGTTTAAAAATTGCGTACATGTGCTTTCCATTGTGTTTTTACAGGAAAATCCTGTTACAAACTGAAGGTGTCATATTATCTTCCAATAAAAAATCCAACATGTCTTCTGAGGCAAATGATATTTCTTCAATGAATGAAGATTATGTTAGTGTTTTCAGTGACGACATGAACAAAACTGTCACTGAAGGCTTAGTCTTAGATGATGGTACTGTAGTCATAGAAGATAAAATGGAGTGCTTCTTAACATTCAAAAAATACTACAACCCGCAGTATATTGGGAATTTCTCAGTAAGTTTTTATTAACCTTTTTATGCAAGATGTTATTTTTCATAAGATACATTTATATGAACAGGGACAAGGAGTGGACAGAAATCTGGACGTTCTTTATGAACATGGGTCAAGTGGGCCTAATTGGCGAGGTAGATACACTGAAGGGATGGAGCCAATCAGGCTACCACTACTTTATGCCTCAATTGAATCAAATGCCACCTTATTCAAATTATGCATATGTAAGTACATAACAGGATTAATGTATATTAAACAAATGCAGTATATAATCATGAGTAATACTTTTTTGTTCGTTTCCTTATCCTAATATAGGTATCTGAAGCAACTTCTGTTTACCATCTACTGGCATGTGAGTAAACAAAGCTTATCGTGATGTTTTACAATACAGTACTAGAGATTGATAATATCAATAAAACTTTTTATGTAGCTGTGGCAAAGAAGTTCGTGGAATGTACACAGCTCAGCCACTGGGAAGAGCATAATGTACTGGCGTACCATGAAAAATGGGGAAAATTCTTCAGTGAATGGCACCGCAAAGGAAAGCACATAGTAAGAAGCAATACAGTACAAATATTAAGAAAAAACCCGCTGTGGTTCAATGGGATGATGACGATGAGGAGTATGATGATATGATGGCCACTCCAGAAGAAGAAAATTTGCCTCAAGATTCTGAAACTTATGTTCCTGCTTCTCCAGAGGTTTATACTTCTATGCACAGAAGCAGTAGACAAGGAAGACCTTTACGCAGAAATCAAGGCGGGTCACAGCGTATATCACGGTGTGGTGTGAAGTGCAGAATTTCGGGGTTAAACTGAATTGTGAATAAATATGGTTGTGAATATGCATTCAAAAACAAAAGAGTTTATGTCATTCTTTGTACTGTACAAGTATATATATACATTAAAAACATACAGGTCATTGCCAAAAATATTCATTTATTCCTGGACTCTTTAGTTCTTGAAAAAATTGAAAAGTTCAACAATTATATGCAGCAGCTGTGCATTAAGAATTAACAAGTGACAGTAATTTTTCATTTTCAGCAATTATATAGACATGAATATTTGGTTCATTATTGCAGTTCTGAAGTAATATAAATATATATACTCTTATAAAATTAATTCATTAGACTGTATACAAGTTACATGGATATAACTTACAGTGTACATCTAGTCTTTAACTTTTGCTTGCTTTCTGCATATATCTTGTCATTTTCATTGATATTTCATGTATAATGATATCCTTTCTTATTTTCCAGTGCATCATACATACGTGAAAACGTCATTGAAAAATTTGTGCAAGCAGCTTCAGAAAAGTGTGCATACTGAATCAGGTAAAGTATGTTCATTTTTAAATAATTAAAAAACCTGTAATTTTTATAAATTCTTTTACAAATTTTCCCAGGTTATAACTGGAAGTGGAAGACAACCTTACTGAAGAATACATCTTACAAGAGGAAAAACTCATTGCTGCCAAGAACCAAAAAGAAGATCTTCAAAGTTGATGATGTTAATGATGTATGGGATTTGATTCTATCCTACAAACATTGTGGGGAAAATATGGTGTACAGCTGATGGGATGGAGAGATCATCTACTATTTCTTCAAGTGCAGAAATGTGAATTGCTCTTACAAAATTACTGTTGCTGAAGAAATGTATTTTGATGATTAAATATTTCATACTTGTGTATGAAGTGAGATATAGACATCCATCGGCATTTCTTCATTTCTTCCACTGGTACAAGCCACACAGGATACTCTTCATAAAATTGTCAAATCTCATCAACACTTTCAATCATTATGTGATACCTGGGAAAAATTTACTTTAAGCAAGGCTTCTGAATGGAGAATTTCCATGATATGAATAAACTCAAGAACATATATATGGTAAATAATTAACAATTTTTGAAAGATGTTCCCTTATATAACATATATTTGTGTATACATTTGCATTCATTCCCATTCATGTAGTTTAATTCATGAAGATTGCCAGCAAGGCAAGAAAAGTTTAAAACTAATTCTCCACAAAAGAAAGTTATCAAAGAATGCAACAGTAATACAATCCTTTGGCCAAACTTCATGGGTCCGCTTTGATGGTTTCTATTTCACCTTCTCCATTCCTTAAAGGACCAGCTTTGACAGCTTCTATTTGAAACTTTCTCCATTCTGCGCCAATTTTACTTGGCAACAAGCTTTTCCTGCTAAATGACACCCACCCCATTGCTGTGGATGGGGAGGTTTTGCTTTTCTTGCTAAATGACACCCCACCCCTGTGTGGATGAGGATGTTTTGCTTATTAGGTTACAAGGTTTATTGCTGTGGTGAAGTTGCACCCAATACATCAGCGACCCTCGTTTTTGCAAAATCCGATGCACATAAGGTTTTTGCACACAAGCAAGTGACTTGTTCACGTCACAGACGCATTATTCCTTGAGGCGTTAAGCTGCGTGCATAACGCCTCATTCAAAAGTTTCCATTAATCATAAGATATTTCATACAGTGTGTTGATTCATTCATGTTTAAAAACTGCATACATGTGCTTTCCATTGTGTTTTTACAGGAAAATCCCTTTACAAACTGAAGGTGCCATTATCTTACAAATCAAAAATCTAACATGTCTTCTGAGGCAAATGAAATTTCTTCAATGAATGAAGATTAAGTTAGTGTTTTCAGTGATGTGCAAAATTTGTTCGGCGGCAAAGGGTGCCGCCGCGAAATAAGGGGAGAAGCATTGACTGGAAATTTAATTGTGGCATCTGGAGATGGGCCAAAAAGAATAAGAGCCTGAGAGAAAAAATTGATCTCCGGGAACCGGGGCAATCCCAGCTGTCTCACAAAAAATCCTGAAAAGGAAAAGAGGACCCAAAAAATCCCCAGAACGGGGGGCAATACGAGCCATGAGCCGACTGTGAAAATTCGAGCAAACTGTGAAAATTCGCATCCTCCCAAAAAAGAGAAAATTATTCCTCCTTTTCAGCAGAAACATTTAGCACTAAAAGACAAAATAAAATACTGCCAGTTGCTGGCAAAATAGTCCAGAAGAGTCTCCCCTTTCAGGGAAACCAATCTATTTCACAAGTTCAAAACAACGAGGAACTGTCAGAATTCCCTGACATATTGCAGTGCATATTGTTGTTACAATTATATCAATTTGTGAGAAAAAGAAAAGGTCAGCGCTAGTGGGGAAATAGTTCCCCAGTTGGTTTGTGCACCGGCCAAGTACTGTGTTTTAATTCATCTGTAAGAAAAGCACTCTGCAATCAATCATCTTTAATAATTCAGCAGATTTGACAAATCACATTTCTTTCAAGGTGTAAGGCTTGAATTCTCTAACACACAAAAAATAAAAACCTTACAAGTGAAAACATGAACAAAACTGTCACTGAAGGCTTAGTCTTAGATGATGGTACTGTAGTCATAGAAGATAAAATGGAGTGCTTTTTAACATTCAAAAAATACTTCAACCCGCAGTATATTGGGAATTTCTCAGTAAGTTGTTAATAACCTTTCTATGCAAGATGTTATTTTTCATAAGACACATTTATATGAACAGGGACAAGGAGTGGACAGAAATCTGGACGTTCTTTATGAACATGGGTCAAGTGAGCCTAATTGGCAAGGTAGATACACTGAAGGGATGAAGCCAATCAGGCTACCACTACTTTATGCCTCAATTGAATCATATGCCCCCTTATTCAAATTATGCATATGTAAGTACATAACAGGATTAATGTATATGAAACATATGCAGTATATTCATGATTACTTCTTTGTTCATTTCCTTATCCCAATAGGTATGCTCCCAATTACCTTACTATCAGAGTGTGGGAAGTATGCATTGTATCCTCAACCAAAAAAGAACCAAGGGAAGGATTCCAAGCATCAGGAACCAGATCTCTCCAAGCCCTGGGATAACCTCTCGGATTATGATGAACATTTACCCATCACCAAACCAAGGATTCAAGACAGGAGCTATGTTGCGGTCAAGATTAAGCGCTTCCTTGTGAATGGATATGTCAGTAAGTACAGAAATAATTTTTTTAGTATGTACATTCAAAGAGATGGCTGTGGCAGCCTGTATCTACAGAAATTGTGTCAAGACTGTTTTACACTTAGATTGATCTTGACGTTTGGGAACGTCACTGGAGGTTTTGGAACATGTATATGTAGTATGTTTTAAAAAATATACTTGACGTCCCAAAATGTCAAGTGAAAGATGAAATTTTATTTGACATTCTGGAATGTCAAATACAATAATGAATCATATTTGGCATTCCAGAATGTCACATAATTAAAAACTTCAATGTTATTATTTTTCACATCTAATGAAATCTTTCATCACTTGTCATGACATATTTTATTACATATCATGTCATCTTTTATTTTTTTAAACATTTCATTTCATACTGTTCTTCTCTTTCCTACAGATTGTTTCTGCAAAAGGCAAAATAGGGCTGCCTTTAAACAAGTTGGACCTAAGGTATACAGCCACCTCATTGGCAGTGACATGGATACTACAGAATTGGAAGAAGAGAGGAAAATGTTAGTATTAAATACTTCTTATTTATTTGGAATGCAATTGCTTTTTCAAATTTGTATACTTTGTCACAAACATAATAATAATTCTGCCACTTTCTTCCTTCACTCTACAGCATTGCATCATACATGGCAAGATCAATGCAAGAAACCAATTGGAGTAAACGTCTGCAGAACAACAAAACCTCTGATGAACATCAACATGAAATTAACAATCTAGAGTCGTCTCCATCACCAGCAAAGAGGCACCAAAGGAAGCAACCAATGCTTGCAAGAAGAAAGACGAGTAATGAGGAAAATTTCAACCAAGCTTATAAACAAGGATTCAGGAATCACGCATTAGACTTCATGAATCCTCTACAATCGTTGACAATCCCAGCAGCACCAACACAATTACATCAACATGCTATTGAGAGTATCACATACTCAAAAAATGTGTATGCTGAAAATTCTGGCAATGTACGTCAAGAGCTTCAGCAACACCACCATCATGAAGCAGGCATAAATGGAAATACTGCTTTTGCTGAATCAGATGAGTGAACCCCACTTGTTGGATATTTCTTCATCAAGTCAAAGAAGCATAACATGTGATGGGCTAGCAAGCCACTTGCAAAGCATGTACAATGCTGGTACCTCTGACACGGCATTCTATCAAAGTCAATTAAGTGGTCAGGAGGCTCATGAAGTTGTGCAAAGTCAAACAGATGCTTGTGACAAAGAACATGGGGAGATTTCCTTCCCACATTGTATGAACCAAGGGCATATAATTGCCCATCCCCAGGTTTACCAAATAGGTCATCACATCCTGTTGAGGCTGCTGCAGGATTTTGCAATCAATGCCACAATACGGAAACATCAAACCATACATCTGCTGCAATCAGGAACTTACATGGAAACTTTGCAGTATTTGATGAAGAAGTAAATGAGGACATGGACCATGGTACATGAATGTATTTCTTGTATTACTAGAAATTATTACAAAAAAGTACATTGTATTTTTTAAACATTACAGTTTTTCTTCTATTACTAGAAATTATTACCAAAAATCACATTGTACTTTTTTATTTCAGCAACTCTCCTGGCATTTACCAGAAACATGTGCAGAAAAGGGAAGGAGCTGTTGAACCTAGCATTTGGACGCCAATTAGCTGCTACCTCTGAGGAAAGCAATGAAGCAGAAGGTTTGACAAAATGATGAAGTATACAGATGGAGTGAATTTTAATAAATATTAAAATGATATTTTGGCAGATACATCCCAGAGGGTGAAATGGATACAGAAGATGTTGGAGGATCACCTCAACCTAACCCCACCACCAAAGAACCCTCTGCAAGCAGCTTTAGGACGTGATGTAAAACTTCCACTGGAGAATTGGGATGCAGTCCTGATTATGAATAATCTTCTAAAAGAAAGTCTCAAGGACTTGAACAAGAACAAACTGTTTGATGAGACGGTACTTGTAAAATCTGTTCATGTGTGATTTTCAGTGTATGATTTTATTTATGATTTAAATAATATGCACTTATTTGACGTTTCAAAACGTCAAATAAGATTAAAAACTTATTTGATGTTCCAAAACGTCAAATAAGATCAAAAATGTATTTGACATTTGGGAGATTGAAATCTTATTTGATGCATTAAATATGGCAAGATTCATAGTGGCAATAATAACAAGACATTTGTAAAATTTTGTACAGATAAGGTATCATTTGTTTGTCACTTTTGGACAGAAATTCTGTTCTTATAATTTTATTTCAAATTTTACAGTTTATAACCGGAAGATGACCGGACCTCTAACCTACACCTCTGGGAAAATAAGCACCAATAAGTAGTGTATATACACTTCATCAACCAGGGTTTTCCAATTCTTTATAACCACTACTGTTTTCCTTCAACATTCACAATTCACAATGAACCACCACGTGCACATGCTTGCTAACTTCATTCCTTTTCCTTCATTCAAAGTGTACTTGTGGAAAAAGTGAAAATTCCATCCCACTTCTTTCTGAAACATACATTGCCAATATATGTTATATTCATTTTGATTATATCATTTATTCAAGTGTATAGAGAAGTGCTGCTGGGAACGTGCTCATTTAAAAAATACAGCAACTACAGAAACTGGTCAAAAGTGTGCCACAATCTAAGGTATCATTCGTTTTCAACTTATGGAAAATAAATTTTTTTCTTATAATTTTCTTTCCAAAATTTTACAGTTTATACAAGGAATACGACTGGACTGCTGACCTACACCTTTGCTGGGAAAATAAGGAGCAATTAATAAGGAAGATGTACTGGACCAATAATTTACTTGGTGTGTAGAACTACATTCTATTGCAGACCCATTGCGGCCAAAATTTGAAGTTTGGTTACACATCCCGCCCAGATGAGAATACACAACTGTGGGAGCCACAAGAATGGGTTATGCTTTATTTCATTTGCAGAAATTTGGAGTGTTTGTACAAAATAACATTGCTTTGTTGATGCAGTGAACGTTTCTGAGTTGTTGAATAAATACTTGTGTATTAAAATGAAATACAGGCATTTGTGATCCTAAGGTATTTTTATGGTAGCGCTGCATCAGCAGGCTCCCTGATATTTCTCGTGTGTTTTCTTATTCTTTTCCCTTCCCGAAAAGGGGCTGCACTAAACTTTGCATCGTCATGAGTTTTGAGGCCAGCAATGGAGGGCATTGCTGTCCTCCTGCGTGTGCGTGTACTATTTCTTTTTGCCAGTCAGCTCACAAGTTGAGTAGCCTGCTGGCTGACCACTGCGGCCCTTTAACTATGTATGCATCACTGTATTTGTCAGCATTTGTGCCCGAGCTTTTGCGACTGACTGTTGTACTGCACTGAATATATACGTTGCCTCTCTACATGAGATACTGGTGTACTTTTTACTTGAACTAACTAAAAATCCTTTTGGCCCGCAAAGCATGTGGAAGACCATTGAAATACCCAAAAACATCAAGGGAGTTCAAGCTTTTCTCGGACTTGTCGGATATTTCCGGTCTTATATAAAGGATTTTGCCAATAAGGCTCACCCTTTATACTCTCTTTTGAAAAAGGATGTAGAGTTTGTCTGGGCAAAAGACCAGCAAACCGCTATGGACTGTTTAACAAAATGTTTAATTTCAGCCCCCATTCTTTCTTTCCCGGATTTCAAGAAAGAGTTTACTTTAACTACAGATGCATCTGCTTATGCGCTGGGAGCAATCCTTACGCAAAAGCTAGACAAGAAGGATTTGGTTCATCAACTCCTTACGCTCTTCTGTAACATCCCAAGCATATGCTAATTCCATTATTCAGATTCATTACAGTTTTGCCCTGAATACATACCTGCCACCTTGTCAGGAGTCTTTGGAGGTCCTCCACACGTGCCGATTTGAAAATGTAGTCACACAAATGTCAAACGCAATCAATACCATTGTCTCTCACACGCCTATGCAATCACTTGTTGCCTGGAACCACACTTGCTTGCTGTCACAACAAGTTTGGAACGCTGAAATTTTTTGCACGCAATTCTATCTGAAACATACATTCTTCACCATATCCTTGTCATTCCAATCCGTTTGATTTTGAAACATCATCTCCTACTTTCAAGAGCGTCTCAACCTATAACAAACATTCTCACTCTTTCAAAGTTCTCAAGTCTATTGCATCCAAGCTTCATTTGTTCATTTTGATTCGCACTTCAACCATTCATTTTGATTCACACATCGCACGCAAGCATGAATTCTAATTCTTTCTCCACTTTCTTAAACTTCAAAAAATTCCACTCTCACTTTTTCTCAAACACTTCAAATTTCATCCTTTGCGCACTTTGCATCTTTGCATTCTTGTCTGAGATGGCCACTCAGATGGGGATGATCCTATGGGACAACTCTTCTTTCTCAAAAACTCTCAAACCCTCTAAAAAATTCTAGAACATGATTCAGGACCCAGATCCATTGCTAATTCTACCGTTCCTCAAAAAATTGTATATCCTCTCAGATTAATCTGCAGTAACTGGTAAAAACCATTTTCCGTCTGCCACCTATCCCTTCCTTGGTTGGAGCAGCGACTCCTACTCACATAGGTGTCACTACTCCAGGGGGGTTTATGTAAGGGATAGGTGGCGCAAGCCTGCTCTCCCAACCATTGCCCGCAGCAAATCTCCACGTTGGAATTCCAGCGTGGAATTCCAATTGTCCCCATTTTCCTTTTTTTCCTAATTAACATTACAGTTCCTTCTTGCCTTGCAAAGTGTAAGCATCTCATTGTTTGAACTTGTGCAAATTCATTTGAAATATATTAATTCTGCTTTTCTTTTGGAGACCTTGCTGAAGGCTCCCTGTTGAGTCCCCAGCAGATTACGTGTTTTATTCCTGATTACTAATTATCCTCAATTCATTCTTAATTGATTTATAGCTTAATAATTTTGTCTTTGTGGCCTGTGCGCCACAGGCAGTAGTCTCATGCCCACTGAATACAACTGGAAATTACTGTAAGCCCATCTTCCAAATGGACAAGACTGACCATTGGTGAACGGGTTCCTCATGGGTTAACACATGCCCAAATTTTGTTCTGGTACAGACCTATATCATGACATACATTTTTAAGCCTAAATCTGAAATGTTAATCCAACGCAAATCTTGGAAATACTGTCAGAATGTTATGACACACTTTACAAAGCCTTCAACACTCAACAGATAAACTGGTTAGGGTAGACCTTCTATAAGAGTATTAAAGTTAGTTCGTTACGTTAAGAACTTGACAGAAGTGGTGTGTTTGTGTACGTGTTCGGTTTTATAGTTATTATACCGTTATTCGTATACTGTGTAAAAATCATCTAAAATACTATGAACATTACAAAATCATTATTCTTCTGGGGCATCTTTTATCCGGGTGGGACCAAACTATTTTGCCAGAGGGTTTGTGCTTCATACCTTCTTACTTTGCCCCCTTTTTGCTCCCCTTGGACCTCGACGGGCCCTTTGCCCAAAAACTACCGCGCCGTCCATTTTCGCTCATTAAACAACTCCCACTACCTTATTTCATGCTCTCCTTTTGCAAGGTTTCCGGAAACATCCCCACAACAGAAAGTTGGCGGGTATAAGTTGTTCAATCATTGATTCCCAGTTTCCACGAATCGAAAACTTCCGCTGCATTCATCGCAGCCAAACGGGCGCGCGTGGGACGACGACGATTTCTTTTCCATCTTCACCACCCGCTCAGCTTCTCCCGCCTCGTGCTCAGGTTCTAAAATCAAACGGTTCAAATATATTCTGTGCCATACCGGTTATCATCATGATGAAGCAACCGTGGACAAAATAATACCAATGCCCAACAACCGAGCACTCATTCAAACGTACGCCACAAATATTTAAACGAGATACTCCTTCGAAATTATCCGTCAATTTTTTTATTGTCTGGCAATTGATTCTCTTTTATCCCACTCCGTTACGTCAGGTTACGCTAATAATTAGGACTACATTATTCCCAAATAAAATTTACCTTGGCTGGCACTGATTTCTATCTGTGCCTATTTTTTTATTGTCTGGCAATTGATTCTCTTTTATCCCACTCCGTTACGTCAGGTTACCCTAATAATTAGGACTACATTATTCCCAAATAAAATTTACCTTGGCTGGCACTGATTTCTATCTGTGCCGGAGTTAGTACTACTACTGGTTGCCGCCACTAAAGAAGTACTGGGACGTGTCCGCGCCGCCGTCAGCGTTACTTGACGCCGACGGTCCCACTGTATAGGGCTTAATCCTGGTTGCCGTCGCTAACGAGGTAAACCACTTCGTAATAGGCGCAAAGTTCCATTCCAGGTGACTATAGCAGTCGCTCCTGCAAATAAAATCTCAGTTTCATATCTTCCGAAAAAATCACGGAGCCCTGGGAAGATTTATCTGATGAACACAAAACTGAGCTCAAAGGTACAGTACTTTCTTTCCCAAAAAAAAATTTGACCACGTGCGGCACAACAGAATCTACACATCACCTCGGGTTTCACAAACCAAACGTAAACCTTAAATAAAAAATTCAACAATACAGCCGGCAATGCTACGGTATCAACTTCGTCAGAAAACTTGCCTGGCACTTGATTAACACCACCGCCAAGGGATTCCATTTGGAATGGGATGATTTCGATGGTTTCCGAAGAGCTGTGTGACCTGTTCTAGAACCTGTACAAGAGGTTTAGTTGCAGCTGAACGCAGCGGAACAGCTGGAAGTACGGCGCTTACCCCTGCAACACGATGAGACGGCTGTGTTGCCAGCCGTAGCTCTCTACTTTCCTCATCGATTTCGGAAGTTTCTGCTGCGCCAGTGCAACAGATTGCCGCGGAATACGCCGATAATCGATGACTTGCATGCTCGTCAACAGGTTTATACAAGCGGATCACACGATTTCGAGAGATGATTCCTCATCGATTTCGGAAGTTTCTGCTGCGCCAGTGCAACAGATTGCCGCGGAATACGCCGATAATCG